CCTGGGCTCCCTCAGCAGGGGGTGCTGTGGGGACCCATGTTTCACAGCTGGAATGGCTATAGGAATGGGGTGACTCATTTGCCCTAGTGAGACGGGAGTTTCCTTGGGAGACGTCCTTGGCACGTGTGTTCCCAGGTCGCTCACCCTGTGTGTGTCTGTGTTGCAGGGAAGGCGCAGGCTAACGAGCAGCGGTACACCAAGCTGAAGGAGAAGTACAGCGAGCTGGTGCAGAACCATGCTGACCTGCTGCGCAAGGTAGGGCCCGGCTCCCCTCTCCTGCATTCCACCCCTGCCAAGCCTCCTGCTGGCTTTGGGTCAGTTCTCATGCCCAGGAGTAGCAGGGATCTGCCACTGTAGATCCATGGGCCATCGTGCCCTGTGGCGAGCCAGCTCTGCTGTTGTTCCGGAGGCTAGTGGGCGAAGATCCCCCGTGGGGAATCCCCTACCCCTACCCCACACCAGGGAACAGGATTGTGCTCTGAGAGCAGGATGGGGCAGAGGTGAGGCATTGGCCCCGTCCAGTGACTGGGTGGGTGACGAGCAGGGGCTGACGCAGCTGATGAGTTCTTGCTGATGTTCCCCAGAACGCAGAGGTCACCAAGCAGGTAACGGTAGCGAGACAGGCCCAAGGCGATGTGGAGCGGGAGAAGAAAGAGTTAGAGGACTCCTTCCAGCGCGTGAGCGAGCAGGCCCAGAGGAAGGTGAGTCCGAGTGTGCAGAGCGGAGCAGGGAAGGCCCGGAGCGTGGGAGTGTCAGCTGGGGGTGCTGGGCGGGTTAGAGCCCAGCGTGAGGGAGTCCGTGCAGTAGACAGGTCTACAGCGTTGTGCCCGCGGGACGGTACAAGCGAGGAGTGAGGGGAGAAGGCTGCAGATTGGTGATGTGATCAGATCCTGAGCTCTCAGCTCAGGTCTGCAGTGGGTAACGAACAGCCCAGGGGCAGGGAGTGCCACCCTGTGATGTGCACACTCAAGGGTTACTTCTGCTCTGTCTGCAGGCTCAGGAACAGGCAGAGGTCTTGGAAACCTTGAAGAGAGAGCTCACAGCCAGCAAGCAGGAGCAGCAGGCCCTCCAAAGCACTCTGAAATCCAGTTTGCAGGTGAGCACGTGCTTCCCTCAGTGAGATCTCCTCCTCTGAGACTCGGTCTGGCCCCACGCCCTGGCTGAACGTGTGCTGCTTGTGGAGCAGCAGCGTAAGTGGGTATCTACTGGTAAGTCTGGCTGTGCTCAGCCTGCCAGCGGGACGGGCTGTCTCGCTGCGCTGGGAGCAGTGCCAGCATCGCGGGCGGCAGGAACTCACTGCCCCAGCACACCGGGCTCTGAGGTGGTTTAATTTTGGAATATAGTAGAGGAGGCGGGATCCCAGAATGAGGGCTCTTGATCCACCCTCATCTTTTCTCTCCCCGTTCCTCCCTCTGTTCCCTTTGGCCTGCAGTCGGAAGCAGAGCGTAGCACCAGGACAGCGGGCTTGGAGCAGGAGAGGGACACCCTGGTGGTGGCAGTGGCCCAGCGCAGCCAGGAGGTGGAGGCATTGCAGGCCGAGTTGCAGCAGCTGAAGGGCACTCTAGACAGCGAGAAGGAGAGCAGCAGTAAAACGCTGGAGACACTGCAGACCCGGCTGGGAGAGAAGGTACTCCTGTCTGCCAGTTTGGGGGTGCCCAAGGTGGGCAGCAACATTGCAACAGCCACACTCCATCCCCTGGGCACCCTGACTTCACCCCGTGCATTGACAGGAGTCCAACGCAGCTCTTGTGTGAAATGCAGTAAACCTAATGCCGTGGAGCTGTGATCTGCAGAGACTGCATGTCCCAGCATGCCGTGCTGTTGGACTCCTCCTTGCTTGGTTGCTTGGGTCAAGATGGAGCATTGCATGCTAGGAACTGATAGCCCCAAAATGTTCTTCCTTAAATGCAAAGATATGGGGAACACCCCATGGGTGTGGCGTTTTGGTCCCCCTCTGCCCCCTTTCCTCCTGCTGGAAGGAACTGGGACCAGAGCAGCCAGGGACGGCCCTTACTCTTTCAATGACATGGCTCTGGTATGTCAGTGGCCTTGCCGTTCTTGCCCAGAGCCTCCTGGGTGCCAGGGTGGCCTGGCTGGGGCTTGGGAAGGCCCTGACCTCTCTCCTCTCTTTGTGTGTCCCTCAGGAGAGCCGTGAGCAAGCCCTCCAGCAGCGGCTCCTCGACGAGCAGTTTGCCTTGCTGCAGTGCACGGTGCAGGAGGCTGAGCAGATGGTGCAGGACTCCCTGAACCGACTCGACGACCCCGCCCACATCAGCTGCACGAGCTCTGCAGGTATGGCCTAGCTGCCCTGCCGTCAGGGTTGGGCTGGCTCCTCCCTCTGCTGAGTGTATCCAGCTGCACTGACCTCTAGCTGCTCTCACACACGGCGTGAAAGCTCTTATGAATCGGGGTTGGGTGCCACTCAGGGGGCACCGGCCTGGAATTCAGTCAGTGTTTGGCGAGCCACGTGCCTCCCCTAGGAACTGCTGAGGATAAAGCCTTGGGACTGCTCCCAGGCAGCTGAGCTGGCCCAGAGCTAGTGCCACTGACTGCAGCTTCCAGGGTCATAACCCCACTCACCCTCACCCGGGCGGTGCTTGGCCAGTGCCAGGTATTTCAGGGGGGGTCTCACCAAGTGTTCCATAGCTCTGGAGTTGCACTAGAGTGTGTGTGCACATACAGACCCGTGTGCGTCCAGTAAACTGAGTCAGTTACTTTCGGGGGGGTTTCCCAAGGAATCATTTGCTGTCCCTCCCTAAAATCTTCAGCACAGATGGGTGCAAAGGCTACTCCTGGGGTAATTCTGCGCCTCTGCGTGTGCGCAGAATTCATGTTCCCCGCAGATTTCTCTGCTTCCCCGCAGAAAAATGACTTTCTGACAAGGAAGCAAAGGGAAGCTGCAAGAGCTGACTCAGTTTCCTGGACGCTTCCAACAAGCCTCTGTGCATCCAGATTCCCCCCCACACCTAGACCCCCCACTGAGCTGCCTGCAACCAGATTGTCCCACATAGAATTTTCTCACCCCACTCCTGGATCCCCCCACACTGAGCCCCTTCACACTTGGATCCTGCCTGGCTGAGCCTGCCTGCCTGCCCCACACCTGGTGCACCTAGCGCAGCAGGGCAGGACCTCAAGGTGTTTCTGGGGCAGGCCCAGGTCTTGTGCTGTGTCAGGGTCGGGTGCAGCCTCACCGCTGAGTCCGTGTCCCGGGGTGGGGGAGCTGCACAGTGATCTCCCACCTTCATGCAGCCAGTGCCCTGCGCTCCCCACTGCCCTGCTGGAGCCTCTGCATTGATTTGTTGACAAATAAAACGTGCAGAATTTTGCAGAATTTTAAAATATTGTGTGCAGAATTTTGAATTTTTTGTCGCAGAATGCCCTCGGGAGTAAAAGGAGGGAGCTCCAGCCATAGTGTGGAGATTTGGCTGAGGGCAGAAATCAGGAGGCCAGGAGCAGGGGTGGGGTGGGGGCTCTCAGGAGCCCTTTGTTCATATTCTGCCCCAGCCTGCAGGGAAGGTTGGGGTGACCGCCCTTCCCGTGATGGAGTCCCGCCCCCCTGCCGCCACCCCCGCACTGGGGAGCCCTGTCCGAGGCGACATCTCCTCAGGGCTCATAGTAACTCTTCTGGAGAGCAAACGTTTTGCCTTTGGAAAGGACCCCAGTGCACTGAAGTCCAGTATTCCCAGAGGTGGGCAGACTCCCTGCAGGGCCTTTCCCTTTGCCCTTGCTCCAGAGCGCCCGTGCCGAGTGCTGTGCTCTGCTCCGGCGGGTGGCAGGAGCAAAATGCAGCCAGCTCGAGCTGACTGGTCGTGCGGTGCTGTCTCCCTCTCCTCTGGTTTTAAGGGGGTTTCGTTGTGTAACTGGGGGAACCAGGGCCTGGATCGCAGAGCCCAGCCCCTCTGGGCAGCACTCTCCACTGCTCAGTCTGGGGGCTTCTTGTAACTCAGGGGCAGGCTCTGCACGGGAGCCCCTGGGGCAGTGTTGGCAGCACACAGATGGGCAGGGGATGAGTCTGTGTGTAGCCCCGGACCCTGCGCAGACCGCTGAGTTCCTTCTGGGTCTCTCTTGTGTGTGCAGATTATCTCCTGTGCAGAACGTTGGCTGCCTCCGACTGCATAGAGCGGCTCCAGGGTGCGCATGGCAAATACCTTTCCAACCGCTCAGGTGAGAGAGCTGCCGGGGCCCTGAGCCCCCTCACTGCAGGCTCACAGTGCACCTTCCTCTGCACGCCGTCGGCAGGGGCTGCTCAGGGCTGAGGAGTGCTGGCAGAGCGAATGGTGGGGGCTTCCACAGGGATCCCTCCAGAAGATCCCATCCTCTCTCCTTCCGGACATGCCAAGCCTCAGACCCCGCAGCCCACGGGCCACCTGTGTGTGTGAGGGACACAGCGCCCCCTCTTCGAGCCCTGCTGTCAGCGTGTCACACGATGCACTTGACCCTTCCCGCAGCACCCAAGAAGCAAAGCAACAGCAGCCCTTGGATCCCCTGGCCGCAGCAGGGCAAGCAGCTAGCTCAGCTGCAGTGCAGACTGTGGGAAACTGAGTCGAGAGGGGGCTGGGCTGTAGTTCCCGAAGCCAGAGCAGTGCCAGGGCGCAGCGAGGCCCCGTGCACTGGGGCTGCACACGCCCTCCATGCCTGTACTGACCTGACGCTTGACGGCGTGTGCACGCACGGCTGCTGCGGACATCGTCCTGGGAAGGGGATCTCTGAGCTGCGGCGAGTGAGGGCTCAGGGCTGGGTCTGCGCCTGGCTCTGGTGCCCTGAGGGGGTGAGGAACGTACCTGCTCAGCTCCCTTTGAATCTGACTCTCTCAAACCCGCGAGTCTTGTTTGCCTGAGGGACTGAGAGGGCAGCGATGGGGCTGGTTGAACCGCTGAGGTGGCCAGTGACTTAGCAGGGGCCGTCTCCCCCTTCTGTCTCCTTTGCCCGCAGATGTAAGCAGCCTGCTGCCATGCGTGGCCCTGTTTGCCCACCTCATCAGCGACACCATCTTGCAGGGCAGCGCCACCTCCCACATGGTCCCTATGGAGCCTGCTGACCGTAAGTATCCCTGCCGGGGCAAAGGGTGGGGCTGTTCCCGCTGGGCGCTCCTGCCTTCCTCACCGGCTCTTGCCCGGCTGGTTTCAGTGCTGTCGGAGATGTGTAAGCAGTGCGGGAGCGAGGCCCTGAGCTACCTTGGTGCCCTGAAAGATGAGGCCTCCCTGGGGTGCGCCGACTGCACCGCCGTGAGAAACTGCCTGAGCCGAATCAGCGCCATCGGAGAGGTGAGAGGGCTGGGGACTGGAACGAGCTGGAGTCAGACCCCTCTCTGGGCAGGGGGGCCTGTCGCGTACTGAGTGGCTGCGGCCTAGGACAGGGCCGTAGGAGACTGACTGCTCCAGAGTGGGCAATGGGCAGCAAGAAGGGGGTTGGGAGGATCCCTCTGGGGCGGGGTTGAGGGTCTCTACGGTCCAAGAGGGGAACTCCTGGGATATGCATCTGCCCTGCTCTGTGTCCCGTCCCCCTCTGGCTTGGCCGTGTCAGTGTGTGCGGCCTGCCTTTCAGCCCTCCGCTGCCCCTTCCTGCTCAGCCGTTCACTCTCCTGAGTTCTCCTCCCAGGAGCTTCGGCCCAAAGGCCTGGACGTCGAGCAGGAGGAGCTGGGGGACCTGGTGGACAAGGAGATGGCAGCTACGTCAGCAGCTGTCGAGATGGCAGTTGCCAGGATAGAGGTGAGACCGGAGAGTGGCTTGGGTGAGGGATGGGGGGGGCTGTTCCTTCACTCCCAGCAACCCCTGCCCTGCAGTGACTCAGACCAGCGGCCCCAGGGTCACCAAAGCAACACAGCAAGGGCCACACAGACGCCACGGGGCAGGCTCCAGCCAGTCAGCAGCCCACACTGAGCAACCGAAAGCTGCACCACCAGGAGCCTCCCAGACTCCTGCTTGTCTCAGGGAGCTGCACCCACTGGAGGTCGCTGACCAGCCAGATATTGCAGCCAGGTGGTGTCAGCGGCTGGAATCTGGTATGTTCCCTTGTGGGCCCGGGCCCACTGCGGCACCACAGGCTAATGCTGCACTGGCAGAATCGGAGCCATTGGAGGGCTGCTCCAGACCCATCTCCCATCTCCTGCTCCCTCGAGCTCTGCTCAGGTGTGCAGCCCGGTGCCATCAGCTCAGGAAAGCACTTGCAGGTCAAGCTGCAGGAGAGCAGTGGGGCAAGGGAATGCGGCTCGCAGGCCCTTGCCATGGGCTCTCAGTACCAGCGCCTGGAGCTGGTCCCCATGTGGGGTGATAAGGGCCGTGGGTGGGCGGGCTTGGTGATAGATGAGAATCTGCCTTGTCCTGTGTAACCGGGTGTCCGCGCACGCGCACACCCTGACCGTGAGTTTCACAGCATGGCTCTGTCGCTCTAAACAGGATATGCTCAGCAAGTCTCGGGCTGGGGACACCGGGGTCAAGCTGGAGGTCAATGAGAGGTTAGTACAAAGCCAAGATCTACCCCTGCTTGCTGTCCGCAGTCAGAGCGGCTCCGTGGGCTGGTGCCATGAGCACAGGAACTGCAGGGTTCTAATGCCGAGCCCGCCGCTGACTTGCAAGGGGACTGTCTGCCTGCCTCTGCAAACAGGGATTGTGACCCTGGCCTGGTGCCCAGCGTGGCTGGGAGGGCTTCTGCCTGTGAAGCGCGGTGCAAGGGCTGATTCATGCTGAGCAACAGTAAAACCATTAAAACGTCACAGTCAAGCAGTGAAAGCAAAGGAAGATGCTACATACAACAAGAGGAACAGCAGGGGGAAGGGCCAGCGGTGCTTGTAGTAAAGACAAAAGCGCTCGGGGTTTCCCACGACCTCGCTATGTTCCAGGGAAAGTGGGGAGGCTATCGGGGGGAGCGTGCTCCCCACAGGCCCCCCGCCGTGTGTTGCAGCGCTGATACCGCTGCGAGGCACACAGTATCCAAGCCGCGATGCCCATGCGGCCAGGCATGTAGCCACGATCTCTGGTGCGCTGTTTGAGGACGAGCCCCGTGTTTGCCGGCAGCACTGGCTGTGGGGGAGCTTCCCATGCAGGGCACCAGAACAAGGCCTAGGCACCCTCGACCCAATGGGGAATTCCACCCCGAGGGAACGAGCGCGCCCCCTCAGAGCGCCTGCCCGCCGGAGCCCTCCTCGCTCGCAGCGGGCTGAGGGCACTGAGGAGCCCGTCGTGAGGGGAGGGTGATGTTGCCGGGTGCTCGCCCTCCGAGTGGGCGGTGCTTGGGAGAGTAGTGCCGAGCAGAGGAGCCCCATGGGCACTGTCTTTCCTGCCAGTCTAACTGTTGGGGGAGGGGAGTCTGTGGAGCCATGAGGGTGTGACTGGGAATTCGCTTTTTACCTAGTGGTAGCAATGTAGGACTGGAAGGTCCTCAGTCCAGCCCCCTGCACTGACCAGCCCTGACAGGTGTTTGTCCAACCCATACCTAAAAGCCACCAGTGGCGGGGATTCCACAGCCTCCCTTGGACGCCTGTTCCAGAGCTTAACCACCCTGAGAACTAGAAACATTTTCCTAATATCGAACCTAAGTCTCCCTTGCCACAGATTTAGCCCGTTGCTTCTTGTCCTGCTTTCAGTGGACATGGAGAACAACTGATCACTGTCCTCTTCATAGCAGCCCTTCACATATTTGAAGAATGTATCAGGTCCCCCCTCAGTCTCCTTTTCTCCAGAGTAAACATGCCCAGTTTTCTAACCTTTCCTCACATGTCAGGTTTTCTAAATCTTTGAGCATTAGTGTTGCTCTCCTCTGGACTCTCTCCAGTTTGTCCACATCTTTCCTAAAGCGCGGGGCCCAGAACTGGACTCAGTGTTCCAGCTGATGCCTCCCCAGTGCGGAGCAGAGAGGGAGAATTACCTCCTCAGTCTTACATACAACACTCCGGTTAAAACACCCCAAAATGATATTCGCCTTTTTCACAGCTCCGTCACATTAACTCATATTCAGTTTGTGTTCCACTATAACCGCAGGTGCTTTTCAGCAGTACTGCAGCCTAGCCAGTTATTCCCCAGTTTGTAGTTGTGTATTTGATTTTTCTTTCCTAAGTGCAGTACTTTCCACTTGTCCATATTGAATTTCATCTTGTTCACTTCAGATCAGTTCTCCATTTTGTTTTGAATTCTAATCCTGTTGTCCAACGCGCTTACAACCTCTCCCAGCCTGGTGTCATCTGCAGGTTTTATAAGCTCTCGATTATCCAAGTCATTAATGCAAATATTGAATAGTACCAGACCCAGGACTGACCACTGCGGGACCCCACTAGATATGCCCTCCCAGTTTGACAGCAAACCATTGATAACGACTCTTTGAGTACAGTCTTTCAACCAGTTGTGCACCCACCTGATAGTAATTTCATCTAGACCACATTTCTCTAGATCAGTGGTTCTCAACTTTTCCAGACTACTGTACCCCTTTCAGGAGTCTGGTTTCTATTGTGTACCCCAAATTTCACTTCACTTAAAAACTACTTGCTTACAAAATCAGACATAAAAATACAAGTGGCACAGCCACACTAGTACTGACAAATTGTTTACTTTCTCCTTTTGTCCGTCTGAAATTCTAGTTTGTACTGACTTTGCTAGTGCTTTTTATGTAGCCTGTTGTAAAACTAAGCAAATAACTAGATGAGTTCATGTATCCCTGGAATTCCTCTGCGTACCCCAAGGGGTATACATACCACTGGTTGAGAACCACCGGTCTAGCTTGCTCAGGAGAATGTCATGTGGGACTGTGTAAAAAGCCTGACCCATCCGAGATGTATCACATCTACTGCTTACCCCATGCCCATTAGGCCAGTAGCCCTGTCAGAAAAGGACATTCGATTGGTTTGGCAGGATTTATCCAGGACAAATCCATGCTGGCTACTCCTTATAACCCTAGTATCCTCTAGGCACTGTGACAAAGTTCCTTCTCTATCTTGGTGGGTCCTGTGCTTATTGGCAGATTTTCTTGCCTCAGAGATTCACCATGTGGGTTGGGGAACAGCCCAGAGACCTTCCCCTCTGGAAGAACCCGCAGTCCAGGTCAATTGGGAGGTTTGGGGGGAACCCGGGCCCGCCCTCTACTCCGGGTTCCAGCCCAGGGCTCTGTGGACTGCAGCTGTCTATAGTGCCTCCTGTAACAGCTGCATGACAGCTACAACTCCCTGGGCTACTTCCCCATGGCCTCCTCCAAACACCTTCCTTATTCTCACCACAGGACCTTCCTCCTGGTGTCTGATAACGCTTGTGCTCCTCAGTCCTCCAGCAGCACGTCCTCTCACTCTCAGCTCCTTGCGCCTCTTGCTCCCAGCTCCTCACACTCACACCACAAACTGAAGTGAGCTCCTTTTTAAACCCAGGTGCCCTGATTAGCCTGCCTTAATTGATTCTAGCAGCTTCTTCTTAATTGGCTCCGAGTGTCTTAATTAGCCTGCCTGCCTTAACTGGTTCTAGCAGGTTCCTGATTACTCTAGTACAGCCCCTGCTCTGGTCACTCAGGGAACAGAAAACTACTCATCCGGTGACCAGTATATTTGCTCTCTACCAGACTCCTGTACCCCACTGGTCTGGGTCTGTCACAGCGCTTACAAATGGATTGTTTAATAATTTGTTCCAGTATCTGTCCAGGTACTGAAGTTAGGCTGACTGATCTATAATCCCCCAGGTCCTCTTTGTTCCCCTTGTTAAAGCCAGATGCTATATTTGCCCTTCTCCAGGCCTCGGGGGGCCTCTCCTCCAGGAGGTCTCGAAAATAATCCTGATGGTTCCTCAAGTGCCCTAGGATGAATTTCATCAGGCTCTGCCAACTTGATTACATCTAACTTAGCTAAATATTCTTTAGCCTGTTTGTTCCCTGCCTTCTTGCGAGCTGCCTTTCTCTCTTGCAGGATTCTGGGCTCCTGCACGGACCTGATGCAGGCTATCCAGGTGCTAGTCCTGGCTTCTAAGGACCTCCAGAGGGAGATTGTGGAGAGCGGAAGGGTAAGCAGGGCACTCGCTAGCATGCACCCATTGGGAGAGCTGCTCTTGGCAGCCCTGTGTCAGTCACTCCGTGGCCTAACACCAGCTCCCAGCCTTCTCTGGCAGCTGGGGCAGATTAGGGACTCCATAGTAGCTGGAGGCCACTAATTCAGAGCGCCAGAGAGAGGTGTTTCCTCAAGATCTGGGAGTGTGAGCTCCACACACCCTGTAGCTATGGAGCCAGCTACCGGAAGTGGGGGGGCACCAGCCGGGAACCTGGCTGTTAGTGGAAGCCCAGAGGCACTTTCCAACATGGCCAACTTCCTGCTCCAGAGATCAGGTTTCAGAGTAGCAGCCGTGTTAGTCTGTATCCGCAAAAAGAACAAGAGTACTTGTGGCACCTTAGAGACTAACAAATTTATTAGAGCATAAGCTTTCGTGGGCTACAACCCACTTCTTCGGATGCTCCAGAGATGTTTGGGAGAGATCCGGTTCCCAAAGAGTCAGGCCAAGACCTCTGCTGCGCCCGCCAGAGTCTGTCCCCGCCCCTGAGCTGTGTGGGTCCGAACCTGCCCTGCAGCTGCTTCCGCAGCCGTGGCGGGTTTGAATGCAATTGAATGGAATGGCCACAGAGCCAATAGACACTTAGCGCTAAGGGAGTGATGGGGAGCCTAGTGTAGCAGCCGAAGCAGCTGGGGGACCTGCTGGCCTTAGACACCATGGTCTTTCCATGGCTGGCAGCATCCTTCGATTTGGGGCGAGGTTCCCTGGCTCCATTGAGTCTCCTGCTGCGAGTGGCAGCGGGGCGCTCAGGGCTGGGTCCCGAGGGTCTGACAGACGACATGCTGCTCTGAGCCGTGGCAGGGACCTCCCCAGAGAAGCAAGTCGGGGTTTAGAAGAGGAGTGAAGCAGATCCAGGGGTTGGGTGGCCAGGAGAGCCGGGGGGGGAGCAGAACTGTAGGCCAGCGCAGGCTGGTCAGAGAGCCAAAGGCTGTAAACCCTCCCCGCTGCCACGGAAGGGCTGCTGTCCGTGGAGTCCTCACTCCTGGGTCTGTGTGTCTGGGACATAAACTCTGCTCAGCTTCTTCCCCAAACCTCCGCCCTAGCTGCTCTGGGAGCTCCTGACTCTTCCTCCTCCTCGACCATGGTGCTTCTCCCCAGCCCGGTCACCATCCCCGCGGGCTAGGGACAAGGCAGGGCTAGCTAGGGGCCAGAGAGACTGAGCTGCATCGGCCGCTCCCCGGCCTCCCGTGCGTGACCCTTGGGCGTTTCTCCTTTGAACGACAGGGCGCGGCGTCCCCCAAGGAGTTCTACGCCAGGAATTCCCGCTGGACGGAGGGCCTGATCTCCGCATCCAAAGCCGTGGGCTGGGGAGCCACCGTCATGGTGTAAGTGCCCCTTGGGGCAGCGGCGGCTTCGCATTGTGGGGACTGTGAGCGAGACACCCGGGGGTCTGAGATGGGCGGTGAACTTGGGAAGTCACTGGGAAGTTCAGTGCCAGTCCCGTCTGAGTCCCTCCCATGAGTTCCCATGTGATGCCCAGTGAACCACTGCCAGAGAGCTGGGGGCAGGCCTGTGCTCTGCCGGTGCCTCGGCTCTGGGGAGCTGAGTGCCACGATGGCATCCCCTTGCCCAGGCTGGGGAGAGCGTGGGGTTTCTGGTGTAGCCTGCACATTGGGGTCCCAGCCGCTCCATCTGCTGCCTTCCACAGTGACGCCGCTGACCTGGTGGTGCAAGGAAAAGGCAAATTCGAGGAGCTGATGGTGTGCTCTCATGAGATCGCGGCTAGCACTGCCCAGCTGGTGGCTGCCTCCAAGGTAGGAGCTTTGCCCAGCCGCTCTCCTCTGTAAACAGCCTGGTCTTATGTGTGGGGTGCCAGCTGGCTTGCCGGCTTGGAATAGGGGGCTCCAGTGGTGGGGGTGGGAGGAGTGGCCAGTTGATACCCCGTGGACTGTCCCCTGGTCAGCTCCTGTGCTCAGAGCATGGATGCAGGAGCAAGCGAGAG